CCTTATTAAACTTAGGTATTACTAATTATAAGTTAGTAAAAATTTATATATTATTTTTTTTTAATTTTTTACTTATAGCTAAAAGTTCTACTTTATAAATAAAGACTATGCTTTTTTTTTTTTTTTTTTTTTTTTTTTTTATTTTATTTTATACAAATACTATTAGCTAAACTTTATTAATTTCATAAATTTCAGAAGTAATATATATTGTAAGAGTACAACTAGCTATATGTACAATTTTAGATTGTCTATTTTAAGTAGTCTGCCTAAAGGTTTTATACTACTATACCTGAAATCTCTTAGAAGATTCTCTATTTAAACTCTCTAGTCCTATCTTACTTATCGCAAATATTACTCTTATAGTTAACTCTAACTCTATACTACTCTACTTTGAGAGGTACTCAAGCTAATATTAGTTATAAATTTTATTATTATAAGCTTTAGATCTTACTCAGATAAGTTCTAACTTCAATACCCTCTAACAGATAGGTATTACAATACCTAACTATACTATGCTATATTCTAATCTAGCTTGTATATATTTTTATTTGATATTCATACAAATCTAGTTCTAGCTATAGCTCTCTACCAGTTTAGACTTCTGTGTCTTTCTGAATATTTTATAAGGTAAATCCTTCTAATCTAGTTAGCTACCAAGCCAAATTGATGTTGCTATAATATCTAATATTACAGACTTATTTGCATCTACTCGATCTGCATCTTTGTACTCAAAAATCTTTGCTAGATCAAGCATTAACTAGCATAACTATTGAAATCTATACTACTTCATCTAATTCTGTTAATAGTGAGATTTGAACTCTAGACCTTTTGCATAGTGGTCTGACAACCTATTCACTATACTAGATTACTGGATCTCTAAAGACTATACTTTAATTTTTACTATAAAGATTTAAACTATTTAATTATTAATAATTTAAATTTAGTTCATGAAGAACTAAGAATATATTAGCTAGACTTAATATATAGAGCAGACTTTAGCAAACTTCATAACTCTAAAAACCAGATATAGATAAGTACACTTTCTATAAAAGAATTCAATACAACTTCAGTAACTATTACCTTATCACACACTGAAGTTATTTGTTATAATTAATTTTTAAAAAATATAATTATCTTACTCTTAATTCAAATCAAACACTCAAATCATTTATTTAATACTTAACTAAACTAAATCATAAACTTCTATTCAAAATATCAATTAATTTTATACTAAAAGAAACATATATCTACATTAATATTCTGAACTCACTATTACTAAATTACATTATATTCTACTCTACTAACTATACTAAATTCTTTTATTTATTTATTAGATCTCAAATTTCTGACAATTTCCTATTACTTAATATCACAACATACAATATAAAAAAATATAACTAGATCATTTTTACCAAAATTAGAGCTAAAGAAAATTCAAAACTTCTGAACTATTTCTAATAAAAAATACTCTAAAAGCTACTAAGAAAAAAGAAAAAGAACCCAAAAATACATTTACATTATTAAGATAAGAAAGAAAACTAAAAAGAGCATAAAAGCTTATAGAAAGTGACAATAAGAAATGTTACAATGAAAACTTTTTTAAAAAATTTAGGGAATTTGCTGATACTCTGTTTTGCAGATTCTCATATATAGTACAAATATGTGAAAAAGTAAAAAAATAAACAAACTTGTCTGTATTACTAACTAGACATGCTATGTGATAACTAATAGAAAAGATCTATACAAGTTCAAAGCCAGAAATTCTATAGGCAGAGAAGAAAAATTATTAGAAATTTGAAGAAAAAGCTAAAATCTTATGAATAAATATAAGAGAAAAGAATATAGCAGATTGTAATAAGAAAAGTGGAAAATACCATCTAAAGAGAACTAAAGAAGAATACATAAACAAGTTAAAGAAAATTAATAAGCTTAAAGCTTTACTAAAAGAAGAAAAACCTAAAAAGCTAACAAATATAATGAAAAAAATAGAAGGTTGCTACAAGCAAATAGATACATATGTACTAAAAATAACTAGAATAAGTACAAAAGTAATTACTACAACAAAAAACTAGCATAAAATACTAAAAATAATAATAATAGAAGAAGAAAATGAGGTTTTAGATAGTACGCTAAAAGAACTAGAGCAAAAGCTTAAAGAGAAAGAAGAGCAAAAAAAAAAAGAAGGTATGCTTAAGGAAAGAAGCGAAAGCAATTTAGCAAAAGAGCAGAGCAAAAAGAAATATCGCTACAAGATATTAATAAATAAACTACAGGCTATTGAGACTAGTCATATGAAAGAAAGTACTATAGCAAATAAATTAATCATAAAAGAAGAAGAGGAGATAAACAATATAGAAAATATCATATTACAAGAGATTACAAGTTTAAATAAAAAGCTAGAATATAGAGACAAAACAGTAATAATCATTTTGTTTAAAGATAAGTTTGAGGCAAAAATACAAAGCTATTAGAGTTAAGAAGATTCTAGCACTTCACTAAGTGAAGCACTGCAGAGCTTACAAATAGACAAAATCTTGTATAGTATAGAATATAAAGATTTAGTAATACAAACAAAAGATATAATTCTCGAAGACTTAGAAGACTCTCTTCTAGAAACATCGCAAATAGAAATAAATAATACAAAAGAATACTGGAGAAAACAAATAGATTATGCAGTTGCAATCTACAAGAAGCCTACAGAAACTCACTTGAAGACAGTTTGTAGGCACCAAATAAGAATGTATATGAGAAACTAGAAGTATACAAAATGAAAATTGCAATGATCTTACTTCTAGGTAATTCAAGAGAAAAATGAATCAGATTCATAAAAAGAATAATTTACAGAAGTAAACATATCAGTAAAATCGAAGAGTGTTTTGTAAAAGGTAACTTATAGGTAGTTATAAGCTTTAATTGCTTCAAAAGACTAGAAATAATGAAAGAGAGAATTGAGAAAAAAGAGATTGAATGGTATAAGGTAATATTCGATAAATATAAAAAACAAGAAATCCCAAAGGTTACTAATAACATAAAAGAAAGATGAAAAGAAAACTCTAAAGGAAAAGTAGTAGCTAAGAGTGAACAGGTAAAGAATGATAGAATTAAAAAACAACAAGTGCAAAAAGAATCAAAACAAGAAGGTAAGTATATTACTAACATTACAGTCTAGGATCTTCTAATTTGAACAAAAAGATCTTAGGTTTTTGATTCAGTACAATTCTTTGAAAGAGTCAAGCATATAGAAATAATAAAAAGACTAAATGAGAAAACAAGAGCTAAGATAGAGTTTGAAATATATACAACAAATACAAAGAAGTTAGAAAAGACATGGTGTATTCTATTTTTAGAAGAATATCTTGTTAGAATTACTCTAGATTCAAACAATACTGAAAAACTAGAAGCATGAAACAAGTACTCGAGGAAACTAGCAGATCTTTTTAGAGAAGCAAATAAGGTATTCTTATAGAGGCAAATCAGAAGAATGAAAACAAAAGTAATACATATATTTAAGAACTCTAATAACAACAATATGAGAAGTGTAACAGTATACTTTACAAATAAAGAAGATCTATTTAATAGCTCAAGATTTGTAGCTCGTATAATGATTACAAATTAAGATAGACTATAGTAAAAGATAACAATCTCAGAAACTAGAGACCTTAAGTAATACAAGAACTCCCTTGAGATGAAACTCAAAAAAGAAGTCCCAAAAGCTAAGAAAAAGTAAAAGAAATAGGACCTAACCCTCTAGTTGAAAGCTCCAAACATGCATAAAGAAGAACTTAAAATAAGCAAGACAAAGCAAAAGCTTGCAGAAAGCAATCAGAAGAAGAAATATATACAGATGCATGAAGCAATCACAATTTATCTGAAGTAGAATTAAGTGATAATAACAGTACTCAAGATAGAGTAAGAAAAAGAAACTTCAAAAAATAGAAGAGAAATATAGAAAGTCCTGTAATACAAAATTGGTGTAAAAATAAACCACCAAAGTATCCCTTGCTCGAGACAGCAATGACAATTTGGGTAAATCAAGCTTCCTCTGCTAGTATGGTTCTTTCAGACGAGTTGGTAAAATTAAAAGACCGTGAATTTGGTAATCATCTTGGTATTCCTAAAAATGAACTTAAGTTCTCAAATGGATAGGTTTCAAACTTCAAGAAGCGAAATTCTTTACGTCGATACCGATTTAATGGTGAGGCTGCGAGTACGCCTTTGGAAACTTTAGCAGATGAAAGGATTAAGCTGAGACAGCTTCTTTCCCAATATGCGCCCGAGAACATATATAATGCTGAGAAACTGGATTATTTTATCGAATGTTACCAAATTAGACGTTGGCATAGCAAGTGGTTTCTGGCAAAAAAAGGGTAGGAAATTAATTTTTTACTTTTCTATTTAATAAAATGGAAAATTAATATATGCATTGCCATATTACTATTCAGGACAAATCATGACTTACCGTATTGTTAGCTACGAACGCAACTAGATCGCACAAACTTCGGCTGTTGGTTATAGGTAAATCAAAAAAACCACGGTCTTTCAAAGGAATAAAGATATCACAACTTACAGTTATGTATGAAAACAACGAACGTGCATGGATGAAGTCTGATATTTGGGAAAAGTGGTTAACATTTCATGATAAAGGTTTCCATATTCAAAACAAGAAAGTTTTGTTAATCGTGGATAATACTAGATCTCATAGTGAACCAGAAATGCCCGCTTCTTCTGATAACAATAAAGATCAAAGACTTGAAGACAATGAATTAGGTTCTGAGTACGAAAATGGTGAAAATTTTATTTCTGAGAGTAGTAAAAATGATGAAATTCCTAATTCTGAAGGCGATGAGGATAATCAGTCTAATTTTCAATCTCGTGGAAGAACTCGCGGAAGAACTCATGGAAGAACTCATGGGAGAACTAGAGGAAGCACTTGTAGAAGTACTCGCAGAAGAACTCGTAGAAGAACTCGCAGAAGAACTCGTGGAAGACCGCGCAGAAGAACTCATGGAAGACCGTGTGGAAGAGCACGAACAATTTCATCGTATAATGAACAAAATAATACTTCTAGCAAATTCAAGCTCACAAATATTAAATTGCATTATCTTCTACCTAACACGACCGTGCATCTACAACCACTAGATGCTGGTATCATTAGGTCATTCAAATCTAAGTACAAAAACTTCTATTGCAAACATGTTCTTAATCAATTCGAGTCAAATATTAATTTAGAAGAGTTAGTACTGTAAATCTTATATTTTATGACTTTTATTTGTTTGATTTATTTTATTAATTCAACTTTTTTTATTTATAGAAATAAACTAAATGTAAAGCAAGCAATCGATTTTATTGCAGAATCATGGAGCGACGTAACCGATGTAACTATTCAAAATTGCTGGAGTAAGATGGGAATTCTTTCAGATATAAGTGAGGTAGAGATAGAAATTACAAATCAAGAATCTGAAAGCAATTTTTTAGATGATGAGGTTGCAGAAATTATTGTAGATTTGTTATCAAGTGATGATCCCGAAGCTTCTAACATAGCTCAGATCATGGAAAGGTATATTCAAATAGTCGATGAGCCTGTTGCGACAGAAGGAATGCTCAATGATGAAGAAATAATTACTATGGTTCAAGCCGAAGAAAATGAACAAGAACAAGAAAGTGATGATGATGAAGAGCCTCCTCCTCCTCCTGTTATAGCTAAAGAGGTATATAATGCAATACAAACTGTTTTACGATATGAAGAGCAGACTAATTCAGAATCTAACCTCAAGCTTGCTAAATTGGAATTTTTGCGAAAGTTAAATAACAACTACAGGCGTGCGTATGGGAAGTCCAAAAAACAAACGCTAATTACATCTTTTTTTACTCCTAAATATTAATAAGTCTTATACTAAACAATTAAAGATTTATTAAATAAATATATTTAGCTAATTGGCAGAACATGATTACCTGTAATTATTGAAACATTCGATCATTTACATGATTAATATCATAATTCGTAATATATTCGTTATCGATTTTTGAATTAATAATCAATTCGTGAAAAATTGAGGCGTGGAAAATCAAGGATACAAGTTTTTGAATATTGATGAAATTTATTAAGTCCTATTTTCACTTGAATTTTAGAATAGCGTGATTCAGTTCATTGATTTGCTAACAATTTTGGTGTCATTTCATGGATCTGCTTATCCATATTCGTTAACTGGTTAATTGCTTATCTACTATTGTTATCGATCTAAAATAGATCTTAACGATCTATTTATCCCAAAATGAGTTGAGTAACAAAAATTTAAAAAATTTTTAATTATAAATTATGGCCGTTCAACCTTTTATATGATACAATTAGCTATCTTGCATACATGTGCATATATCATACGTATGTATGTGCAGTGCAAGAAATCTAAAAACCCACAATTACTCCTTATTGGGAAATATTCAAAGTCGATATTTACATACACCTTTATTGTTTGCTAATGATTTAGGATTTCAATGCATATGGTTGTCTTTATAAAGCTTAG